TGTGTGTGTGTGTGTGTGTGTGTGTGTGTGTGTGTGTGTGTGTGTGTGTGTGTGTGTGTGTGTGTGTGACTTAGGCTTGCCCCTCTGGTTGATGCAAAGCAGGTGGAGAGATCCACTGAGCTGGGGCTTTGCCAAGACAAGGAATACACCTCCAAACACACTTCTGCACTCGTGTACATAACAAACACAAATATACAGGGGGRAAAAAAAGGCAAAACAACAATTTGATGAGGTGATCCAGACAGAAATAATATGCCAGTTTTGTCCTTCACTTTATCACAGACTGTCTCTCCTGTGCCTCATTTGTGCAGTGCTCTCCACACGCCATAAATCCTTTATTTCTCTGTTGTGCTGTTATTCTATATTTACATCTATTTGTTATTTGACAGCTCGCATCTAGAAAACCTTGAGAACGCTGCTGCGATCAAGGCTGATAACTACAGGTTGCATTTGCACTTTGAAGACAAAACAACATTAATTAGTGAATAAAATGGAAATGCGAGCATCGSGCGCCTCCAAGTTGGGCTTGAGCGTATGCAGAGAAAGACAAACGTTTCGCGCCTATTTCCCCCGTCTGGAATCTCCTGCTCTCTTCCTCTGTGATGGCTGCGCRGTGTGAGAGGTGCACAAACAGGGAAGCTTGTCGGAATTGATCCGGCGTGTTCGCAGCCCTGTGACAGGTCAGCTTTGTACAGGTGGAGTGTAACCTCTCAGTTCCTGCTTAAACCGTTCAGGATGCGCGCGGCGCCTCTACCCTCCATCTGCTGGTCCCTATGAAGTTTGCAGCTGATCACAGAGGCTTTGACTGCAGCTTCTGTCTGGAACACGCCGCAGACGTGCCTAACCCCTGAGCCGGATCATTAACACGCCGAAAAATGAAATGACACAGGTGAAAACATCGTCTTTTTTATTTTATTTTGCTTTTTTAACTGCTCAAATTGAGCTTTCAGCCTCTGGGTGCAGAAATTCAGTGTATTTATAGGTGAGAAACCAAAGCAGACCTAAAAAAAAAACAACAACAAAATTCTGAGGAAAAACTGAAGTCCTAAAAAACAATAAGTAAAAGTATACAGTGATATACAAAGGCAGCAATCATTGGTGGCTAAATTAAAGTTTGTTTGGTAAAAAGGTCCCAAATCTAACTCTTAAGAAAATTAGTGTTTGATTGATTACCGGTAGTTCTTTGTTGTAACCAGAGGTGAATAGTAACCTGAGTAACTTTTTGGAAAAGATTTACTTTTAGGAGTAGTTTAACACAATACTTTTTGCTTTACTTGAGTATTATTAATAGGACTAATACTTGTATTAGAAGTATTGCTATTACTTGAATAAAATTTCAGAATACTCTACCATAACTTCACTGAATGAAGAACAAACATGTTTTAAGCACAAATGAATTAGAGACACATCTACAAGCCCTGTCACACTATGACATTTTAGACAACTTATGAATATTTTTGTGTCTAAATTACTAATAAAAGATATACAGAGGGTAAAATAAGTGTTGAACACGTCAACATTTTTCTCAGTAAATATATTACTAGAGGTGCTAATGACATGAAATTTTCAACCCAAGTGATCCGTACATACAAAGAAATCAAACCATAAATGTCCAGAAATGAAGTTATTTGTAATAATGTGGAATGGAACAGGGAAAAAGTATTGAACACATGAAGAAAGGGAGGTGTAAAAAGGCATGGAAAGCAAAGACACCAGCTGAACTCTCTCATTAATTA